TCCAGCCTGGTCTGGGTCTGTTACTGGAACCAGGAATGTCTTATTCGGCCTTAAGTCCTGTGAGCACTGGTGAGTTTTTCTGCAGCTGCAGGGCTATGGGTGGGCCTTTTGCAGCTTCAGTGCTGTTGGTTTTATTATCTTCCAGGAATTCCATTGCCTTGGGCCCTTTCATATCTATCTGCTATCTGCCTGCCTCAGTAGGGTCCCTCAGCACTGCCAGGAGTGATTCCTGAGTGCAGAGCCAGGAGTCAGCCCTGAGCACCACTGGGAGTGGCCCCAAAACAAAACTAATTATTATTATTATTAATTATTTTGCTTTTTGGGTCACACCCAGCGATGCTCAGGGGTTCCTCCTGGCTCTGCACTCAGGAGTTACTCCTGGCAGTGTTCAGGGGACCCTATGGGATGCTGGGAATCGAACCTGGGTCGGCCACGTGCAATGCAAACGCCCTACCTGCTGTGCTATTTCTCCAGCCGCCCCAAAACAAAACTAATTTAAAAAAAAAAACCGCTTGTGGGCAAGGTCATTCCTGCCAGTTCCGGTCAAGGCTGTCTCTGCAGCCTGCCAGGGGCACTCACTGGCCTGTCACTGTCGGTCTCAGTGTCCCCCATCCTACCACAAGCGTGAGGGACTGGGACCTGAGCAAAATAGTACCGTGGGTAGAGTGGCTGACCCGGGTTCGATCCCGGCATCCCATAGCCTCCCCACTCCCCTGCTCCCGCCACCCCAGTCACCCCCTCAAAAGAAAAAAAAACCCAAAACAAGCCAGGGACACTTAAGGTCCCTTTGAATCCATGGCAAAGTCTATCGCCCGCTGCCGGCAGGGGGCACGCTCACAGGCTCTCACCGCCCAGGGGTGGGGCTGGAGGGTGCCTGGGTTCACGGTCTCCCGCCCAAGGGTGCTGGAAGGAGCGACAGGGCGGGCATGAGGCGCAGATAGGATGCAGCAATCTCTGCAGGATTTGCAGGGTCCCTCGGGGAGAGCCGGTGGGACTCAGGCGCGACAGAGCACGTGCTTTGAAGACAGACCACTTTCCTTCTGGGCAAAGGGAGGGAGCAATTTGGCCAGCCGCCAGCGCCCTGGCAGGCTCCCTGAAGCCTGGTGGGTTTGTAGGGAGTAGGGGGGCAGGGGGTGCTTTTCCTGATTTCTCTTTGTTCCCCCTCAGGCGCTCCCATCAGCTGTCTTTCATTCCCACCAGCAGCCTGGCAGCCCGCCCGCCAGACAGTTTTGCATCAGCAGTGCCCCCTCCTCTCCTGCAGGGCTGGCAGAAATCTGAGGGCAGTTCGACCCCAGGGACAAATTGTCAGTCAACAGACGCTGGCTCCAGGACGCCTCCTTCCCCCCACTCTGCTCCCAGGGCCTGCTGGGAGATCTGAGCACTTTGCAGCCTGGGAGCATCTGGGAACTGGTGAAGAAAGAGCCTCGGAAATCACAGGTCTCAGAAATCACGGGATGGCAGAAGCCTGAGGGGACAACGTGTGAGGAAGCTGTTGTTGAGAGAGAAGGGATGCAGATAGCGCCAGAGATCACGAATTGTCGTTCTTCAGCCAAAGCAGTTGCGCACTGGGCTGCAGAGCTGGCACGGGCTGAGCCCCCAAGAGGTCCTGTGGATTCAGTCTCAGCACCTTAGAGTTCCCTGAGCATGGCGACAGAGCCCAGTAGCCCCTGAGCATGGCCAGATGAGGTCTCAAACAGAAAAACGACCGCCAGCAGAACACTTTCCACAATAGCTCAGTGTTTCAAAAATAAAATGTGGGGGCTGGAGCAGTAGTACGGTGGGGAGAGTGCTTGCCTTGCATGCAGCTGACCCCAGTTCAATCCCCGGCAACCCCTAGGGTCCCCGAGCCCTGCCAAGAGTGATCTCTGAGCGCAGAGTCAGGAGTAAACCCTGAGCACCACCGGGTGTGGCCCCAAACACCAAGAATAATTGGGGCTGGAGCGATAGCTCAGCGGGTAGGGCGTTTGCCTTGCACGACGCGGGTTCAATTCCCAGCATCCCATATCGTCCCCTGAGCACTGCCAGGGGTAATTCCTGAGTGCAGAGCCAGGAGTGACCCCTGTGCATTGCCGGGTGTGACCCAAAAAGAAAAAAAAAACCAAGAATAATACAGTAAGATGTGTATTGTATTAAGCATCTTCTTTCTCCCCAGGTGCAGTTCTTTGGGGACAGAGAAAATAAGAACCTGCCCTTGAGAGGCTATGAAGTTTTGACCTATTTGTCCATATACCCACACACATGAAGGTACCAGCAGAGGCACAAAGGCTTGCGGGTCCTGGGGCTGAGACCTCCAAGCCTGCTCGGATCGGGGCTGAGCATCCTCCACCCAGATCTTCCATCTTCCAGTAGGCAGGGGTCACACCCACCAATGACCCCCTGGCACCATGTAATCCCATCAACGGCCAAGACCCAGAGACTATAAAACCCAGTTCCCGGAAGCGCGTGACAGCATTTGTGGCCACACAACATCTCATTATCTCATTTTTACTTTGGACAACCTGGCAGGCTACCGAATGTAACCTGCCTACACAGCAGAGTCTGGCAAACTCCCTGTGACATACCCAATATGCCAAATACCAGTAACAATGATGGGGCTCATTCTCCTAACCCTGAAAGAGCCTTGTATATGGCACTTTTTAAAATCTCAGGGCTAGGACGAAGGAGGCGTTACTGGGGCCTGCACGAGGCAATTGACGAACAACAGGATGATCGTGATCGTGATCGTCCATATACCCATTTATCCACCCCTTCCTCCATCCTCCCTCCACCCTCCTATTTACCCATCCCTCTCTCTATCCACCCATCTACTCATCCATCCATCCATCCATCCATCCATTCATCCCTTCACTACTTCATCCATCCATCCACTCATCCACCCACCCCTCCTTTCTTCACTCCCTCTACTTATCCATCCACCCACCCATCCATCTATCCATCTGTCCATCCACCCACTCATTTATTCCTCCCATCATATTTCCCACCATCACTCACTCCATCCACCCACCCACCCCACCCATTCATACACCCAACTACCTTACCCATCCAACCATTCATCTATCCATCCATCCATCCATCCATCCATCCATCCATCCATCCATCCCTCCACCTACCCACCCATCCATCCATCCACCCATCCATTCATCTACCCACCCATCCATCCTCTCACCTCTCCACCCATCCCTCTATCCTTCCGCCCACCCAATCATCCATCTCTCCAGTTTATCTCCCTTTCCACTTTCCACCTCTGCCTTCATCCATTGATGTTCATCCTTTGTGTTTTGTTTTTAAACCCGAAGGTGCTCAGGGCAGGCAGCCGACCTGGTTCTATCCCTGGCACTGCAAATGTTTCCCAAGCATTGCCAGGAGTAAGTCCTGAGCACATAGTACCTGGAGTATGCCAGAGTCACTCCTGAGCATAGAGCCAAGGATAACCTTGTGTGGTCCAAACCTCTTCCAACCAAAAGTCGTAGTAGCATTTGAAGAATTTAGGGGTTGGGCGCTCAGATGCTTCCGTTTTCTCTTCCCCACCTGAAGGTATGCTCCAAAATCCGAACCACAAAACCCTGTTTATTTGTTCATTACAGACTCTCAACAACTCTTCCTTCCCCTCGCTCGGATTTATTTCTTCTCTTTATTTTTTTCAGTGCTGAGGAACGAACCCAGGGTCCTAAAATAGCACTTTTAAAAGGAAAAACTTGGGGGCAGGGGTGATAATAAGGAGGATAGAGCATTTTTGCCTTGCCCGCAGCTGACCCCGGCTCTATCCCAGACATCGAATATGGTCCTCCTAGCTCTACTAGAAGCACTCCCCGAGCTAAGAGCCAGGAGTGAGGCCTGAGCCCCGCTGGTATGGCCCCAAGCCCTTCAAAGTAAAACTTTTTTTGGTTTTGGGGCCACACCTGGCTTTGCTCAAGGCTTATTCCTGGCTCTGTGCTCAGGGATCAACCCTGGCAGGGCTCTGGGGACCCTGTGGGATGTTGGAGATGGAGCCCCCAGGTCGGCTGCGTGCAAGGCAAACGTCCTACCTGCTGGTCTCTTTGGTTCCCTATTTATTTTTTATTATTATTTGTTTGGGCTGGAGCGAAAGCACAGCGGGCGCGCAGCCAGCCCTGCCGAGCCAGGTTTGATTCTTCCGCCCCTCTCGGAGAGCCCGGCAAGCTACCGAGAGTATCCCGCCCGCAGGGCAAAGCCTGGCAAGCTACCTGTGATGTATTTGATATGCCAAACACAGTAACAAGAAGTCTCAAAATGGAGATGTTACTGGGCCCGCTCAAGCAAAATCGATGAACAACAGGAGGACAGTGTTTGACAGTATTATTTATTTATTGTGTGTATGGGGGGTCAATAGCACAGCGGGTAGGGCGTTTGCCTTACACGCAGCCAATATGGCCGACCCGAGTTCGATTCCCTCGCCCCTCTCGGAGAGCCCGGCAAGCTACCGAGAGAGTATCTCGCCTGTAGGGCAGAGCCTGGCAAGCTACCCGTGAGGTATTCGATATGCCAAACACAGTAACAACAAAGTCTCCAATGGAGACGTTACTGGGCCCGCTCGAGCAAATCGATGAACAACGGGAGGACCGTGACCGAGACTGTGTATGGGGGTCACACTGGCAATACTAAGGGATCACCTCTGGCAATGCTACAGATTGACAATACGGTGTGCAGGGGAACAAACATGGAACCACAGTACTCTCCTTCCGGCCTAACAGGGGAAACTGAGGTTTAAAAGGATAGTCTCCAAAAAAAATAAATTTAAACTATTTTTAAAAAGGAGAGTCTCGGTTTCTTTCTTTTCAATGGGGATACACTGCCAACTAGTAAGTAACCCTGCGAGCGGGGAAATAAGGTCTCGGTTGACTTCAACATCAGCCACAGAGAACGTTTATTTCAAACGGCAATGGCGCGAGCGCGGGGCATGCCGGGACTTGTAGTTCTTTCCTGGCTCGGCCTTTCCCCCTCCACCCCCATCGCGTGCGCCTGCGCGGAGCGGCGCGCGCATCCGGGCGCATGCGCGGGGCGCCGGCGCGCGAGCGCGCGCGACAGCTTTCCATGGCAGCGCCCGCGGCGGCCATGGGGCCCTCGGCGATGGGCCCGGGCGGGCCGGGCTCCCTCGCTCCGTGGTGCTCCGTCAACAGCGGCCCGACGCGCTACGTGCTGGGCATGCAGGAGCTGTTCCGCGGGCACAGCAAGACGCGCGAGTTCCCGGCGCACAGCGCCAAGGTGCACTCGGTGGCCTGGAGCTGCGACGGCCGCCGCCTGGCGTCGGGCTCCTTCGACAAGACGGCCAGCGTCTTCGTGCTGGAGAAGGACCGGCTGGTGCGCGCGGGGGCGGCCGGCCGGGAGCCTGGGGAGGGGGCGCGCGCGCGTGGTGTGCGTGTGTATGTGGTGAGAGGGGGCGTGTGTGTCTGTGAGAGGGTATGTGTGTGTGTGTGTGAGGGTGTATGTTTGGGGAGGTGTGTGTGTACGTGTGAGGGGAGGCATGTGTGTGTGAGGAGGCGTGTGTGTGGACCTGGAGAGGGTGTGTGTGTGTGCCCAGAGCAGTAGCACAGCAGTGAGGTGTCAGGTCCCCTAGAGCATGCCCAGGGGCAAAGCCCCGAGCACCTACCAGCTGTGGCCCCCAAACCACACAGAGAAGTTAGTCCTGAGGCGTGTGAAACGACCTGGGGGTCAAATTCTGATCCTGCAGGTCAAAGAGAACAATTACAGGGGCCATGGAGACAGCGTGGACCAGCTGTGTTGGCACCCAAGCAATCCCGACCTCTTTGTCACCGCCTCTGGGGACAAGACCATCCGCATCTGGGACGTGAGGACCACCAAGTGCATCGCCACGGTGAACACCAAAGGTGATGCCACGGGGACATGGGTTCCTGGGTCCTTCCAGCCGCTGTCGGCGGAGGCTGATCCTGCGCTGACTTCCGACCATCCTCAGCTTCCGCAGTGCATGTATCTGTGTAGGGACAGACTGAGGCAGAAGAAAATCGAGTCTAGGGGGGCTGAGCGAGAGTCCACCGGGGCAGGCCCTTGCCTTGCACACAGCTGACCCGTGTTCCATCCCTGGCTCCCCATAGGGTCCCCTGAGCCTGCCATGAGCTCAGAGCAAGGAGTCAGCCCTGAGCATGCCCCCAAAACAACAATAAAAAAAAAGAAGGAAGGAAGGAAGAAAGAAAATAAATCATGTCTTAGGGCGGGGAGAGAACGGAGTTTAGGTATAAGAAAGGAAAGAAAGAAAGAAAGAAAGAAAATCATGTTTTAGGGCAGGGAGAGAGAATGGGGTTTAGGAGAAAGAAAAAAAGAAAGAGAGAAAGAAGGAAAATCATGTCATCATGTCTTAGGGCAGGGAGAGAGAACAGGGTTTAGGTGAAAGAAAGAAAAAGAAAGAAAGAAAGAGAAAATCATGTCTTAGGGCGGGGAGAGAGAATGGGGTTTAGGTGTAATGTGGCACCATATATGGTTGTCCTTCCCCCTCCCCCCCCACTCCCTGTCCCTCTGGGGATTTAATGGTTAGGTGCAGAGGCTTGGGCCAAGGCAGTAACCCCTGGTGGGAATATTAAGAAAGTCTCTTTCCCAGTCTCTGAGAGGCTGGGAAACTGCTAATAGCTTGAAGGACTGATCTTGGGGTCAGAGCGATAGTAAATAGGGGAGGGCATTTGTCTTGCAAGTGGCTGACGCAGGTTTGACCCCAGTATCCCATAGGGTCCCCTGAGCACTGCCAGGAATAATTCCCGAGTGCAGAGCTAGGAGTAACCCCTGATCATCGCCAGGTGTGACCTTTCAAAAAGACAAAAAAAGAAAAATGGTGATAGTGCATGATGGGTGAGTGTCTGAACTTTGGGAAAAATCCATGTCGAGTGGACTCAGAGTCCAGTCTGTGTTTGAATCCTGGGGTGCCTTTAGCCCTCGGATGCTTGCTTCATCTCTATGCTGTTGGCTCAGCTAGAAAATGACGATAACCCAGGGGGCCTGGTAGGACTCGGGGTGAAGCACTCCAGAGGGGGACCCCTCCCCTGTGACCAAGCTGCATCAGTCACTTCCACTGAGGGCTGCCCTCTGGGGGCTTGCACTCTGAGGTCAGCTTTCGTACCTCCGGGTCAGCAGTGCCAACTTCCGCCGGCCCGACGTGACAGGTCGTTTCTGTCCGGGTTCCACAGGGGAGAACATTAACATTTGCTGGAGCCCCGATGGGCAGACCATTGCCGTGGGCAACAAGGACGACGTGGTGACTTTCATTGACGCCAAGACCCACCGGTCCAAGGCCGAGGAGCAGTTCAAGTTCGAGGTCAACGAGATCTCATGGAACAATGACAATAACATGTTCTTCCTGACCAACGGCAACGGCTGCATCAACATCCTCAGGTGAGGGCCGCCGCGGGGGATGCCTTGATGGTGCTGATGAAATGAGTCTGTCCCGAGGAAGTTTCACTTGCCAAGCAGATGGACATGCCCAGGGAGCTCGCTCGCTCCTTGGAGCCCCTTTGAGTGGCCACCTGGCACTGTCCCGACTTCTGTCAGATTCCCTCTCGCGCCGGTGGGGTGTTTCTTCCCCTCCTTCCCCATCTGTTCCATCCCAGCCCAACCTCAGAGGTTTCCCTAACGCACATCCTGCAGACGCGGTGCTTGTTCTGTGGTGTCTGACGTGCTTGTTCGTCTCCCCCCTGCTTCAGTAATGCCCTTCACCAGGGCCCAGTCAGCATGTGGCTTCTTGACTTCTTTCCTCTTGAACCCTATGTGGGGGAGGGTGGTGGTGGTGGGGTGTGTGTGTGTGTGTGTGTGTGTGTGTGTGTGTGTGTACACGTACTCTGGATTCTTGTTTTGCTTTTTTCCTTTTGGTTTTTGGATCACACCTGGCGATGCTCAGGGGTTACTCCTGACCCTGTGCTCAGGAATCACTCCTGGCAGGTCTCAGAGGACCCAGTGGGATGCCGGGGATCAGTTGCAGTGCAGGGCAAATGGCTCCCCCGGCCCCCGTGCTATCACTTCGGACCCCGACTGAATTCTTTTGTGTCTTTCTGGCTGAGCATTGGGTGGATTGGGTTTTTCTATGTGGAGAAGGCCGGGAATTTGCTGGGGGCAGGCCAAGGGAAGGCGTTGCTGAGGCTGGCTAAGTTTTGGAGACTGGAGGAAGCAGCTTGCCGTGGATGACAAGATGATAGGGGGGATTATACAAGTTGGGGAACCTGTGTGGGACACCTGGCTCAGGTGGGGGACCCTTGGTGAATCGGGTCTGCTGAGCATGGATGCCCTGGAAATGGACTGCTGCTTTGGGTGGGCCCAGGTGACCCAGACGCCGGAATCTGCCACTTTGTGCTTTTACCGTCCGTCACTGTGTGTGAACCCAAGACAGGTAATCGTTTGTTTGACATTCCTTGTTCTTTCACCGGGAAAAAAAATATAATAATAACAATAACAACAACAATAATAATAAGCTCCCACTATGCTGAGGACGTAGAGGTCGTCATTCTTGAGGTGTGTGAGGTTGTGCCCACCTCGCCCTCGCCGCCCCACCCCTCCAAGCATCTCCTGGTCTGAGTGACAGAGGGCTGAGGGCAGTGCTTTTGTGCAGAAGCCAAGATGAGCACAGACTGTCTCCAGAGTAGATGCAGGTGAGGTGGGGGGGCGTGGTGGCACCAGTCCCGTGCACACCTGCGTTGGTGCTGTTTGTTGTCAGGACGCAGCTGATAGCGGGGGCTGCCTGTCCCTCTGCCTAATAAGCTCATCACTAACCTTGTGCCTGTAAGTCTCTCCTCTGTTGGTGGCCAGAAAATTCCTGCCTCATTCCTACTTGGCATAATGCACATGCTCATTAACCGTCTGTGTCTCTGCTAATGATTGGAATGCTTTCCCCTGTTCGTTGTTTTTTGGGGCATACCTGGCGATGTTCAGGGCTTCCTCCTGGTTCTGGATCCAGGAATCACTCTTGGTGGGGCTTGGGGTGGATCCTATGGGATGCGGGGGATCGAACCTGTGTCAGCGACATGCAAAGTATGTACCCTTCCTGCTGTACTGTCTCCCCGGCCCCTGATTTGGGGCGTTCTAGACGTTGGATAGTTGTCCTGACTGCAGAAACCTTTGATTTCTAGATTCCTGACTTTATTGCCTTTTTGGAGGGGCATGAGGGATGTGGTTTGGGGCCACACACGGCGGTGCTCAGGGCTTCCTCCTGGATCTGTATTGAGGGTCATTCCAGATGGGTGTTGGGGACTCTTTGGGGTGCCAGGGGTCGGGCTTGAGGGAGGCAAGCCGTGTCCGATGTCCTCTCTCCTGTCCCTACAATTGTTCCCTGTGAAGTCCATATCACTGTCAGTTTCTTTTCTGGCAGTCTGATGGGGTGGGGGTGGGGGTGGAAGGAAGGGTGTCTCAGTTCTCACTCTCATTGTGGGCTGTGTTCTTTCAGTGTATACTGGAGGATATTTCTCTTCGGCTTGGGGGGGGGGGGGTTATATTCAGCGATGCTCACGACTTCCTCCTGGTTCTGCACTCAGGAATCACTCCTGGTGGTGCTTAGGGGGCCCTATGGGATGCTGAGGATCGAACCCAGGTTGGTGGAGTGTAAGAGTTCTCCCCACTATCTTGTCACTCTGAAACACCCGGAAAGTTTCTTTTTCCTGAGTCTGCACACTGGCTCTGTCTCCCCAGCACCTGACCGTGCATTTGCACGCTCTCTCTCTGTGTCTCTCTCATTTCTCAGCTACCCAGAGCTGAAGCCGGTGCAGTCCATCAACGCCCACCCTTCCAACTGCATCTGCATCAAGTTCGACCCCATGGGCAAGTACTTTGCCACGGGCAGCGCGGACGCGCTGGTCAGCCTCTGGGACGTGGACGAGCTGGTGTGTGTGCGCTGCTTCTCCAGGTCAGCCTGCAGCCCTGTGCCGCCGTCACCCCCCAGGGCCCGCCTGGCCGCCGGGGCTGCCCTGATATCTCCTTTGCCCCCCTCTGTCGCAGGCTAGATTGGCCTGTGAGGACCCTTAGCTTTAGCCACGATGGGAAAATGCTGGCGTCCGCGTCCGAAGACCACTTCATTGACATAGCTGAAGTGGAGACAGGTAAAGGGGCGCTCTCTGCCAGCCCTCCCCTTCCCAGCCCTGCACGCGCCCAGCTCGGGGGGCTCATGGGGGCAAAGGAGGGTTGGGGTGCTCACGCTCCTGGCTCTCTCTGGGGTGCTCTCCTGGAGTCTTTCTCAGTGGGCAGCTGTGATGCTCTTGTGGGGCTCGGGGGTGTGGGTTGCCCTTCCTGGCTGTGGCTTGCATCCCCTCTTCATTTGCAGTGCTTGCTGGGGGCAGGTGGGGTTGCACCTCCTTTTCTGGTAGTGCCTGACTGAGCTGAAAGTCCTTGGGAAAAGTTTTCAATTAGCAGTAATTGCGCCCCAGATAAACCGCATTAGCTGTGATACTGCCACTGCACAGAGCTATGGCCAGAAAGTCCTGGTAGCCATAAGGATGACACTGTAGAGCTGCCCCGGCACAAATAGCCGCTTCGATGGGACGGGGTGCACATGCGATGTCAGGGATTCAGACTCGGGACCAGACACTGGCCAGGCCAGCGCTCTGTCCCCTGTGTGCTATTCCTCTGGATCCCAACCTGACTGCCTTAATAGGAATCTTTCACCTTTGTGTCTTGGGCTGGCCCCTCCCTTGTGCCTAGGTCCCCTCTCTCCCCCCCCCCCCCCCCCCCCACCGCCTCTGCACCTACAATTTCACAGATGAATTTGTCTTCTATGCACGGGCTTGTTTATTAAGATCCTGGGTCAGGAAAGAGAAGCAGTGAGGGCAGCCCTGGGGGAAGATGTTGGAGGAAGATGTTCTGCATTTCAGTGGCTGGTGGATGCTGGTATTTTGGAAGTGTGGAAAGGAGAAGGAAAGGAAGCTCCAGGCTTGGAGTGTCACTCTTAAACCCAGTCTGTTTTAATTTTTTTTTTCTTTTTTGCCTTTTGGGTCACACCCAGCGACGATGCTCAGGAGTTATTCCTGGCTCTGCACTCAGGAATTACTCCTGGCGGTGCTGGGGGGGACCATTTGGGATGCCAGGGAGTGAACCCAGGTTGGCCGCATGCAAGGCAAATGCCCTCCCTGCTGTACTATTGTTCCGGCCCTGTTTTAATTTTTGGAGCTACATCTGCTGTGCTCATGGCTGACTCCTGGCTCTGTGCTCAGGGATTTCTCCTGGCAGGGCTCGGGGGAGCCTATGGGGTGCCAGGGATCAAACCTGGGTTGAGCTACGTGCATGGTGAGCACCTTCCCATCTTCCTATGGCTCCAGCCCTCTGATTAGGTTTATTTGCTTTTTGTTTTGTTTTGGCGCCACACTTGGTGCCAGCGACAGGACTCATGACCCCTGCAGGTGCAGTGGGTACTCCAGCCTTTCTGCTGGCCCCCTTGGCCCCATACCTCTCCATGTCAATTTCCTACATCCATCAGTTCTGGAACAAGGGGCTGGAGAGATTGGACAGTGGGTCAGGCAACTTGCTTTACCTACGGCCGACCTGGGTTCGATACCCGGCACCCAAGAGAGGCAGGCCCTGAGCCTTAGCCATGAGTGACCCTTTAGTGTAGAACCAGGGGTGAGCCCTGAGCGCAGGGCCAGGAGTGAGCCCTGAGCAATACCAAGTGTGATCCCCAAACCGGAAAGAATCCAAAACCAAAAGCAGTGACAGTTCAGTCAGACCATAGGACTCATTACCAGCCAGACCCTGCTTTATGCCAGCAAGGAAGAAGGCAGGACTTTTTTGGGGGGAGGGGCAGGGGTCACAGACTGGGGGAGGGGTGTTTTTGTTGTGGGTTCCATAGCAAGATGGAAGGAGCCTTGGGGAAGGGGCTTCCTGTTCCTGCTGCTTCCTGGGGGGCAGCTTCCACACCGGGCCGGCCCACGCCGGATTTAGGGCGCCAGGTCCTTCCCTCTTGCTTTCTGGCGTGGCCCCTCTCCCCTGGCAGGGAGTGCGTGTGTGTGGGTGGCCGGTGCCCATGGAGCGTGTCCTGACCCACTCTCTGTGTTGCTTTCCGTAGGCGACAAGCTCTGGGAGGTGCAGTGTGAGTCCCCGACCTTCACTGTGGCCTGGCACCCCAAAAGGCCCCTGCTGGCTTTTGCCTGTGATGACAAAGATGGCAAATACGACAGTAGTCGGGAAGCAGGCACGGTCAAGCTCTTCGGGCTCCCCAATGACTCCTGAGGGGGCCCCTCTTCTCGCAGGATCTGCCTGCCCGGACTCGTCCCGCCCGGTCTTGTGGTGGGCCCTCGAGTCTTTATCCATGAGTATTTGCTACAGTCGCACCTGGGGCAGTGGTGGCCCCCCCTCAGCCCCCACATTCTCAGGGCTCCCTGGAGCCCCCCGTCGTTTCTGCTGCATGCCCTTTGGATGGACTTGGAGGTCTATTCCTGCCCAGTGTGGAGGAGGAGGCCGGGCTGGGCACCGCGGGGAAGGAAGCAATTTCTTTTTTCTGTTTTCAATGCACAAATGAATGTTTTGAGAATTGAGCCTTTAATAAAATAGACTTTTTCTTTTTTTCTCCTCTTAATGGTGGCATTCCTGAGGATAACGGCTGTACTTGGTGGTGGGGTTGATTGTGGCTCAGCTTCCTATCAAAAACCCTAAAGGGGCCCGGAGCTATAGTCCAGCGGGGAGGGCATTTGCCTTGCATGAGGCTGACCTGGGTTCAGTCCCTGGCATCCCATGGGTCCCCTGAGCACCACCAGGAGTAATCCCTGAGCATTGCCAGGTGTGACTCAAAAAGACACCAGTTTGGAGTCTCCCCACAAAATAAAAGAAAAAAAGACCCCTGAAGGATGGGCTAGAGAATAGGATAGTACATTGGGTAGGGTGCTTGTCATGCGCGTGGCTGACCCGGGTTTGATCCCCATCACCCAAGCCGGACCAGGAGTGATCCCTCAGCACAGAACTAGGAGTCAACCCTGAGCACTGCTGGGAGTGGTCCCAAACACTCAAAAAATCCCCCCAGGTGTGGTTTTTGAAGGTGGTCAGCAGCTCAGGGATGTCATCAAGGTGACAGGCAAGAGGCCTTCAGGCTGGCTGTGGTTCCAGTGCCCGGACGCCTGTCCTCACACACAGGAGGGCACTGTGCCCACACACGGGCAGAGAAAACCCCAAGGAACATCCTGAAACCCAGACCTCGGGAATGCAGGAGACCACACGAAGTTCCCAGCCCAGAGTTAGGAGCAGGGATGTCTCAGCAACATTGAGAGGGAGAACCCCGGGCCGGAGGCATAGCTCTGTGCCGAGGACCAGTGACCCGTCCCCGCCACCCCATCCAGCACTGCTGGATGGCCCCCAAAACAAAAATAACGTGATGTCAAACCATATGACCCTGCAGAAAAAGATGGGAATAGGGTGGGATTTGGAGATCCTGGACCCTCTCTCATTCCTGACAATTCTCGAGCACAGCACAGGGACCAAGGGACCCAGGTCTGGAAACTTCCATCCACGTGCATGTGGGTTCCAATTGGTGCCGCCGGCAGATGGTGTCCACAGTCCCTGGGCCTGGGCACACAGCCACGCTTTCCTGGGGCTATCTTGGAGCCCCGAGAATAGTGGGGCGACTCACCCCCTTTCCACCTTGGTCCTTGTCTATGCTCCCAGGATGCAGGTCCGCCAGCAGCGCCAGAAAAGCAGGAATGTGATCATGCCTTGGGTGCCCTGGGAGACCCCAGGAGCCCTGGTATGGCCGTCCAGGGAGGGGAGGAGGGTCAGAGAGAAGGGGTCCTCCTGCCATGGGCCCCCCTGGGGCACCGGGACAGACATGGTGCTCTGGGGTGGGCTGCGTCTCCCACCCTGGCGCTGGACAGCGCTTCCAGGCTGCTGGAGGCCCCCTTGGCCTGCTTGGGCTTTTCCTTCCTCTGTTTCTTCTGCTTTGTTGTTTTCAACATCCAGCCATGCTCAGGGCTGACTCCTGGCTCTGTGCTCAGAGATCACCGCAGTCGGGGCTCGGGGACATTGTGGGATGCTGTGGACTGGACCCAGGGTGACCGAGTGCAAGGCAAACACCCTAGTGCTGTGTAGCCCCCCGCCCCTCTGCTTTATTCTCTCTCTCACTCTCCCCCTCTCCCTTTCTCTCTCCCCCTCCCTACCCCCCTCTCTCCTTCCCTCCCCCCCATATTCTTGGCTCTGTTCCAGGGATCACTCCTGGTAGTGCTCAGGGTGGTGCCAGGTAGTGCTCAGGCTCTGTTCCAGGGATCACTCCTGGTAGTGCCCTGTGTGGTGCCAGGGATTGAAGAGGGTATGGTCGTGCACACGCAAAGGGCTTGCACTGTCTTGTCCTATTTATTTTTTGGGTTTTGGGCCACTCCTGACGGTGCTCAGGGATCATTTCTGGTGGGACTTGGGGGATCCTATGGGGTGCGGGTTATTGAACTGTTGTTGGCCACATGCCAAGCAAGCACTCTGCCCATTGTACTGTCGCTCTGGCCTATTTATAGTTTGTTTTTTATTTCTTCCCCCATTCCTTTTTCTTTCTTTCTTTTCTTTTGGCAGGGGGCACACCTGGCAGTGCTTAGGGCTGACTCCTGACTCTGTGCTCAGGGCTGACTCCTGGCGGTGCTCAGTAACCCTTAGGGATGCGGGGATTGAACCTGGTTGGCTGCGTGCAAGGCAAATACCCTCCCTGCTGTCCTGTCGCTCCATCCCCTTTGAGCTCGTGTTTGGGGAGACATAAAAATCACCCAGTGCCCACTCTGGAAATCTTACCTTCTTTCTGATTTTTTTTTTTTGTGCCTCACCCAGGATAGGTGGGCTCAGACGGGGGTGTGGCCACACGCCCGGAAGCCGGAAGGGATGGGTCGACACAGGCACCCCGGCTGGAGTGATAGCACAGGGGTAGGGCGTTTGCCTTGCACGCAGCCAACATGGCCGACCCGAGTTCGATTCCTCCGCCCCTCTCGGAGAGCCCGGCAAGCTACCGAGAGGATCACTCCCGCACGGCAGAGCCTGGCAAGCTCCCCGTGACGTATTCGATATGCCAAACACAGTAACAGCAAGTCTCATGATGGAGATGTTACTGGGCCCGCTCGAGCAAATCGGTGAACAACGGGAGGACCATGACCATTTCTTCCCCCCAATCCCCCCAAAAAATGTTTAGGAGACCACAGTTTTGTTTCTTTTCCTTTCCTTTCCTTCTCTCTCCTAGCTCTGTCTCTCTCTCTCTCTTGTTTGGGCGCACACCGAGAGGTGCGCAGGGCCTACTTCTGGCTCTGCATTTAGTGCTCATTCGTGGTGGACCCCAGAGGAAGTGGGGTACCCTATGCAGTGCTGGGAATCAAACCCCGGCTTTTAACAATCCTGGAACTTATCTCTAGCCCTCCATCCCCACCCTGCCCCCAAATACTGGTGGTTTTTGGCTTTGCATTTTTTGCATTCTTGTAGATGGACCCAGAGTGTGGGCAGAAGAGAGGGAGGGGTCCGAGCTTGCAGGCTGCAGGTACACCAGTGGGAATTTCCAAAGAAAGGACAGGGGCGCACGTGGGACTCACGTGGGCGAGCGTTCTGGTGGCCGAGAGCTGCCTCCCCAGGCTGGATGATAGCAATGGATGGACGAAGGACCGGGAAATGAAAAGATAGGGCCCGGCTTTTTTTTTTTTCTTTTGCTTTTTGGGTCACACCTGGCGATGCACAGGAGTTACTCCTGGCTCTGCACTCAGGAATTACCCCTGGTGGTGCTCAGGGGACCATATGGGATGCTGGGGATCGAACCCGGGTCAGCTGCGTGCAAGGCAAATGCCCTACCCGCTGGGCTATTGCTCCAGCCCCAGGGTCTAGCTTATTTATTTTATTTATTTTTTTTGCTTTTTGGGTCACACCTGGCGATGCACAGGGGTTACTCCTGGCTCTGCACTCAGGAATCATCCCTGGCGGTGCTCAGGGGACCATATGGGACGCTGGGAATCGAGCCCGGGTTGGCCGCGTGCAAGGCAAACACCCTACCCGCTGTGCTATTGCTCCAGCCCCGGGTCTAGCTTATTGATAGACAGTGTATTTTTCTCTCCTCCCCAGTGTAGTCCGATCTCTCTCCTTACAACACAGTTGTAGTCGTAATTTTGGTCATAGTCCCAGTCATCATAGTTCCCTCATCCTTGTCTCATAGTCCTTGTTCCATTCTGATTCTCGTCTAGTCCTTCTCTTTCTCCTAGTTCCCCCCTCCCCCTTACAGCATAGTTATATGGAAATCGTGGGGTTGAACATCTCATAACAACAAACAGAAATAAAGCCACTCCTTCAGGGGAAGTTCTAGGGGATTAACTCAAGAACAAAATCTCAGTTGAGGGTCCAGCACTCTAGATTACTAGGAGATCCGCTCAAGGGTGGGATTCCATCCAGGGTGTATTGCTTTCTCCTTTCCTCAGCTAGTAATCCATTTAAACAGTCATAGTAAGTTTACTTCTTATAGTATTTCTGGTCATTTTGTATGAGCACAGTAAGATATAAATTAAGCTTAAAGGTTGACTCTTCCTGGGGACATCTCGCTATATATCCCAGACTTCAGTCCGCAGGCCAGATTAATCTTTCCTAACCGCAGCAGGGTCCTTATTCAGTTACTTCTTTTTGGGGCATGACAGAGTTTGTCCCATGACCATGCTCTTAACTTATTATACTTACGGTGTTTAGCTTGTCTCCTTTCGATGCCAGGGTAGCTTACAGCTTGTCCTGGGTCCATTCAGCCCCTTCATCAGGACCCTGCTTCTGGAGTGCTATGAACTAAGGGCAACTGGGGCTTAAGTAAATATGGATGCCCAGGAGTAAATATTTTTTTTTTGGGGGGGTCACACCCGGCGATGCACAGGGGTTACTCTGCACTCAGGAATAACCCCTGGTGGTGCTCAGGGGACCATATGGGATGCTGGGAATCAAATCCGGGTCGGCCGCATGCAAGGCAAACGCCCTACCTGCTGTGCTCTCTCTCCAGCCCCTGTAAATATTATTTTGGATGGCAATAGCAATGGATGGACGAAGGACCGGGGAATGACGTTACAAAGCATAGCATGAACTGTCTTGCTGTGTCTATGCCAAAAGGACATTGCTGAACTATGCAAGTGACATAAAGGAAAGAGAAAAGCAATATAGGATTATTCGTGCTTATGGAATTGGGTTTGCCTCAGGAGCACTGTTGTGGTAGTAACTCAGTAAACCTAAGCTCCCTGGGGAGGAGCAAGGACAACCCAATGTTATCCAACATACCAGGACCAGAAAGTCTGTGAAAGGGGCTGGAGCTGTAGCATAGCAGGTAGGGCGTTTGCCTTGCATGTGGCCGACCCAGGTTTGATTCCCAGTATCCCATAGGGTCCTCCGACCGCCACCAGGAGTAATTCCTGAGTACAGAGCCAGAGTATAGAGTACAACCCCTGAGCATTGCTGGGTGTGACCCTCCCAAAAAAAGAAAAAAAAAAGAAAAAAAGCCTGTGAAAGACTGCTGCTCCTGGCCTCTGTCCCACCAACATCCACCTCCAGCAGTACCCTGTGTGGCC